CAAGATCATGTTCTAGTAAGAGCTGCTTCTCGTGAGATTTAGGATGCTCCTCATTTCTAAGGCTGGGCATACACCTTACAACCATCGCAAGACTTTTGTCTTGCGATGGTTGTAAGGTAATTCAAAAAAACATACGATCTGCCTATCTTGGGCAGGCAGATTGTACTTGCGATGATCGCAAGCCGTGCCCCCCTGAGGGGCGGGCTTCCGATGACCGCAATGCCGAACGTGCAGTGTGCGCTTGCGCACACCGGCCCGTCCGGCTTTTATGTTACGAACATGCTACACACCCGCCGAATATCGTACGATGCTCGGCAGGTTTTCGAACATGTTCGTAAGATAAAAGTCGTGCGACCTTACAGTAGTAGAGGTCGCACGGCTTCCACACACAGGATTTCCCACCATTATGGCAAGGTGTGTGGGCACCTTTTAAGATTTCAGCTAAAGGATCACAATGTCATTTTTTTTCTATGTGCTTCCCCCTCCACCCCCCACTACAGATGTATTTTTGTATAGTCATCATACAGCTATTTATAATGGTGGAGTGGCCCTGATGTAATGAGCTGCTTTCCAGTGCAAGGTCAGCTTCAAAATACAGATATCCAAAGATTTGATGGCAGTTGGACTTCTTTAAAAATTGAATTTTTTTTTTTGTGCAAGACCATGTTGTGCCTGAAAAATGTTTATTCTTAAAGTGTATATAAACCCCAAAACAAAATTGTACTGTATTGAAGCTAATCAGTCCTTACATGTGGTGGCTGCATTTTTTTTACACTTGGTGATCATGTCGGTAACATAGTTTCACTTTCCTAGGGTAGCATTGCTAAATTGCTGTATTGAATCTATGGAAGAGCATTGTTGACAGCCTAGGCTCCTCTTCTGATATGGACTAAAAACACTTCTCACCTCATCTCCATTATATAGGAAGAAGTGTTTTGTAGTTCACAGAATATAGCTGGGAATTCTTTTGAATTGTTTGGAATTTCAGACACATTTCTAGCAGGATCAACAGGTCATTTTCTGTACTTGCAAGAAAAGTTCTTAGATTTAGCGGCTGCAATAGTTTTTCTTCAGACTGAGTATTGGTAAGCTACAAAATCTATTCAGTTTCTAATCTGGAGTTTAGGTATACTTTGATGTTTTCAAAATGAAAAGGCCTCATTCACACTAGAAGGCTGGCGCGTACTCCATGCTGCGTGCACAGCCGTATCGGGCAGCTCCCGGGAAGGACAGGTGCTGCGTGTGATTAGTACGCAGCCTATGTCCTTCTCTATGGGAGTATGCGGCCATATGCCGTCCTACGCTCACCCCAAGTGCAGGTCCGTGCGGGTGTCACGGCTCGGACGCAGACAGGATATATCCTATCAGCATACGAGTACGGACACGCGTACGGCCGCGTACTCCCATAGAGAAGGACAGGGGCTATGTACTTATCAGCATTTCTAAAATGTAATCTACAATATACATCTGGTGTCCATACTAGTGTTGGAATGGCAACTCATGGTTCTGTATCCACCAGCAGTGCAAGGTTGCTTAAATGTGAAATGAATACTAAGGCTGGTATGTAATAAATAAGATATACCATACGTAGTACTGATTTTGCACTGCTAGTTATCTGGGGAATTAGCTAAGCGTTTCTTTTGTTTTCCAGAATTGCATGGTTTTTACCTTTTTTAGGCATAGTGAAGCTTGTAAGAAGTTAAATACATTAAGTATCAAAATGTATATTCTTTTGTTTGTTTTTTAGGAAATCGACACTATTAATCCAGGCGACACAAATTTTTCCAGTACATCATGGGAGGATGTCTCGCTTTGGGAAGCTATTGGACGCAGAAATGTATGTCTAACGCTAGTGGTTGGCAATCCAGAGTAGAACAGATTTTTAATACTATCAAAGTCCTCAGTAGGACTATCTTTCTTGAACAAGCTTTCAGTGACCATATTTATTTATTTTCCTATTTGCCGAAGGTTAAATGTGCAATCTTTTGTGCCTTTATTGTGACTTTGTTTCAGCAACAGCATATTTTGGTTTCAAATATACTTGGCAGGATTTTAAATTGTAGCATGCATGTGCAAACACATTGATGTTGATTTTTGTCTTTTTAAGTTTTCCTTTCTAAAAATTAGAAGTAGTTTAAAAAAAAAAAATAGATGCTTGACAACGCTGTCTGTGCAAACTATAAAACTGATTTTTGGCATCAGACTGGTGGTGGGTGATTAGGAAAAATTACCAATTTTTAAAATTCTTGCTGAGCTAAGATCCTCCCTTGATGTCACTGCTTTCTGTAACTTCTGAAGACGTTATCCTTTTAAAACCTCTGAAGCTATAGATTTTGTGTGTTTTTCTCTTTCGACCTAGCTCATTACACCCAGAAATACAAAGCGGAAACCGGCTACAAGGAAAAGATGAAAGTCTGCACGTTTGCACTTCATTACAACTGTGAAGGGTCATTTATATGGGTAAAAAGCTGAACAAGATTTCAGAGTGGACACTTTCCTCAGGTTTTGTGTATCCACCCTGAAAACACTTGGGGTCCACCCTGAAACACTTTCTGACAGTTACCTGCATAAATATACCTAAAATATGATGTCCGAAATGCAAACATTTTGCTGACTCATCATTTCTTTGATGCTAATGCTGGCCACACGGTTTAGTCTGATAGTACAATCTTCTTTAGATTCACCAATAACTGTGTAGTGCAATATCCTACCTAAATGAATTGCATTGAAATGCAGTCAGGTACACCGTTGCACTTCTACATCAAGCTTTAAAGTATGTTACCAACTCAAGTGGAGTGCTAAATAGCCCTGAGGTTTACTGCATCTGATTTTATACTTTCTCTTATGTAATCTTGTTGCTGAAACCACTATGCTAGTTATAAAGTTGGGAGTAAATAAATTAGCATTTTTAGCTGTAGGTAAAGACCATGTGTTTTAAGACTTGTCCCTGTGGTCAATTTCACTAGGACCCATGGTGCTTTCTTACTGACTATGATAAATGCAGCTTCAACAGAGCTAATAGCTGAGCATTTGGCAAAACATAATTATATTTGTCTGAAGTACATGAAGCAATTGCTTCAGACCTAATGGGTATCGGGGGCAAATCTGAAATTGCCATGTCTGTTTCTGCCTAATATTAAATGTTCTAGCTGGCCTGGCTATACTCAATGAAGGGAATTAATCAAAACTGGAGCAGATGTGCATGGCAACCAATCAGCTTCTCTTTCATCTTTAAATCTTAACTAAACAAGCTGAAGAGAGAAGCTGATTGGTTGCCATGAGCAACTGCTCCAGTTTTTGCCTGCTCCAGTTTTGATACATTTAAACACAATGAGGAGAATTTATCTGGCAGCAAAATGCCAATGCCACAGGTTATGGCATGCGTTTAACCTCATTCATTTCTGAAGCGATAGACATTGTGGAGTAATTCATCTTCAGATTTCAAAAGGCATTTTAATTTTTTTTTGCCATTACATTCTTTTGCATCGGCATCTTGGCAGCTGGCCAGCCCTCTAATGTAAACAATTGGGAGATGTTTCTAAGTTGTTGGAAACCAACAAACGTGACCACAGTCTTTGTTGTGGTCTTGAGAATGAATGACCTCACAGTGCAAGCAGGTACAGAGGTCAGGGATGGTTAGTTTTTATCTATTTGTTAAAGTGACATTAAACCCTCAGATTTTTTAACATAAAACAATATGTTAAAACATCTGAGGGTTTAATGCTTTAAGAATATACAAATACAATAATATTCTTAAGCTGAGACTGTTTTTGAGAATAATAGAAAATAATAAACCCTGCAAATACTTGCATATTTTCTGGAGCAGGATCCCCAGAATATGTGCAGCTTCTCTACTTGCTTCTTTACAACTGCTGTGCCATTAGCTCTCTAAAGAAAGCTACTAAAGTATAGAAAATCCTTCCTATTCGGGTATATTCAGTAGTACAGCTAGTGCATGAGTGAATTTTTGATACTGTCTAGGGGTGTCAAAGAAGGTAGACTGAATAAAAGCAGAGTCTGCTTCACCTCAAGGGATGTACCT